TTTTATTTTTTTTCCTTAATTGTCGTCGTTAATCATTCTTTGAATTAGAAGAACAATAAATATCTTACTTTTCGGAGAAGAACAATATTTTGATTAATCCTCGACGACAAACGAGTATTTAGGCTCTTTTTACTCTTATGAGAACACGAAGCAACATTTAGCATGGCAATGATGACTAATTATATTTTAAATTCACAAATACTAAGTCCGTGGAGAAATCTATTTTGTTATTTCAATCAAGTGCCTAAATCAGCGGAACACGATTGCCCGAGGTTACGCATGTCATAATTCATCATCCCATTTTATTTTTATCTATAAATAATGGGCATTTAATTTATCAATTTAAAGTGCGGGTACTGATGTTGAACTAAGTCTTTTTTTTTTTTTTTTCCAAACCATGATAAAATTAATAAACCAAACTCAAGTGATACATATGTTCGAGTAGCCAACGTACTACATAATCAAACCCACACACACCTAAATGCATACAGGTGACACCAGGGAGTACATCACATAAACGATGTCTCCTCACCAGTCATATTGGTCTCATTCCAAACTCAATTACAAGTATGAGGATCAACAACAAACACACAAGACAAAAATTGTTTAACTAAGAACATGATGTCATCCACAATTACAGCAATATCAGAAGGAAAGCTTGGTCCCCTAATTAACCTGTCAGCTACCATTTGTTTTGGAACTTTGCATGTGATCTGTGACCATCCCAAGAGCAGTCCTTGATCCAAGCTCCATCTGATAGCTAATAAAATGGCCCCCTCCATATTTGTTGTTGTACCCTGTGCATTCCACCACTGCTTCTGCAAGGAGTCCTGATTAAATGCTAATCCACCCAATTTAACCTTAGCTTTAGACAAGTAAATAGCACTGGCAACTGCACATAGTTGTCCTACTTTTGCACTGTCCTGAGCCTCAGTGATTGGGTTTTTAGCAATGCTACCTACAGACTGTCCCTTACCTTTCTCCTTTATAATTTGAAAATCAATCCAGTCTTATTTTACCACCACAGTATGCTCCAACACTTTTTCCTTCTTAAACATCCATATATTTCTTATTTTCCATAGCCACCACAATATGTCGGTGGATAGGGAAATTCTGCCCATTCTTAACCCCCACCATCAGACACACCTCAGCCACCAATTTTTAAAACCAACATCCTCCTCAGATAAACAATTCCATGATATTCCAGCCATTTTCCAGATTTTCACAGCCCTCTCACAATAGAATAGGATATGTTCCAGATTTTCCTCTCTCTCCCCACCCTAATGACACATTACATCCACAAACATACCTTTCTTTCTCAGCCTGACATTGGAGCTTATGAAATCATTCCAACACTTCCAAAGGAAGTTCTTGAGTTTATTCTGAATTGGAAGCCTCCAAGTCTTTTTCCAGATAATCTTCATCTTTCTATTTCCTTCACTAGATCCAGCTACCTGTTCTGAAATGCATAAAAAGAAGCTTTAGATTCCAAAATAGTTTTGTACAATTCTTTCACAGTGAACACTCCTTTTTTGCTCTGGTACCATGCTAATTTGTCCTTTGTTCCCTACCTGCTGATTGGTATTTTAAGAATATTAACAACCTCACTTGGGTGGAAAGATTGCAAAACAAGATCAACATCCCATCCTTTAATACCACCTGCCAGCATCAAGTCAGAAACAGTACTAAATCTCTCCTAATCTCCATTGAACACACTGAAGTTTGATACTCGTACACCAAGTACCCAGAGTTGCATGTAACCAAATCAAACAAATAGTAAAGAAGATTCAAACAATTGCGAAAGTTGTTTCACTAATAATTGAACCTTCAGGAGAGCGTCCCACTCTCCCTTCAGATATCATTCATTAATGTGAATATCTCAAACACTATCCAAGGGTTTACAGCATAGACTCCCTCTACACTCTACTTGAACAGTGATCCACACAACTACTTATTTGACCACAACTCCCTTGTGGGTTTTATAGTTCGAAACCCTCAAACTATATAGAATGAACCTTCGAACACTTTATTGTTAATACTCACAAAAATAACTTCTTCAGAATTTCACACTTCTCTCAAAATAAAATACAAAATGAAAAAAACCAAAAACCCAGAAGCGAAAGTCATCTTCTACTTGCGTTTCATCCTCCTTTTATCATCGAGCTTCATTTGGTAAGTTTCTTCCTTTTCCTTTGCGTCCAAGTTAAAGCCTCATAAGGAAGGTCTCTTGTTTATTTGTGGCCGCAATCATTCTCTTGTAATTAAGGAAGATGAATCCAAGATTATTCCAATGGACTTGCCATAACAAAACACTTACTATTATTAAGTAAAATAATAAATAAATCAAGCTTCCAATCAAACTAAAAACAACTTCCCTTAAGTACACTTGCTATATTCTGAATCTTGTGAACACCAGAAGGTTCATCGATTTACTGGCAATCTTCAGAACTTACAATCTCCCCCTTTAGCAGATAAATCGAAAACTATTTCCTTGATCCTGCATGAAGTAAATAAATCTTCTGCACTATACTTATCTCATCACATAAGTGTTGTTCATATGAACAACTCGAATGCCTGAATAAGAGCAAAATAGTTCACTGGATACTAATAAAAAAACGTTCATCACACGCAAGAAGAAAAAAAAAACGAAAAGAAATGAGTTCAAAAAACCACACACAGAAAATAGTTTTCAACACAACACATATGAATGTCCAGCAGAGAGTTCTATGCAAACTCTTCTTCAGACTCCTCCCTCGAACCTTCTTCGGTACCATCCTCAGACTCTTCTTCAGAAGCCTCCTCCTCTTCTTCATTCTCAGCATCAGAATCAGCTTCTTCCTCATCTTCTACATCAAGACCTTCCTCTTCTTCCACAACCTTCTCCTTTCCCTTAACCTTGGTAGCAACAATCTTTTCTTTGCCTTTTGCGGTCACATCAGCAACAACCTTTGCTTTCTTCGGCTTCTTCCTCTCACCAGCAGTCTTTTGCTTCTCCCCCTCACCAGCAGTCTTTGCCTTCTCCCCCTTAGCAAGAACCATCTTCTTTTTAACAGCAACAACGACCTTCTTCTACTTTATCTCCCCCTTTTTCGATTTAGATACCAAAGGGGCCCGTGTCTTCAAAGCACCTAGCACCTCCTTGTAGTACTTGCTTGGATCAGCTAACTTCTTTTTAAGTCCAAAGAGGACTGCCACTTGTTGGTTCAAGAATCCGCAAAGTTGAGAAGGCACTTCAGAGGCCTTAATGAAAGAAGGTCGAGGAGGGGCAACCTTTACAACAGCTAGAGCAAGTGGTTTGAGAGTAGAGGAGTATTTATCACCAATACGAGGGTCCATCTTCACACCAGCCTTGAAGAGAATCGCACAAACGGTAGAGTAATAGGCGTTCCCTCCATCGTACGCGATCCTGGCGGCGCGTGTGTCCCGAACGGCGGGAAACCGATCACTGGAGGTGGCGGCCTGGGGTTGGGAATTGGCAGAGGGCGCTTATCCGTCCACTTTCCCCTGAAATCCTCATTCAGATTCCTCTGCGATCCTTCCTTCTCGGCCGTCAGAGACAGATCGGAGCTAGGTGCAAAGCTCTTAATTCCTTCAAGAACTCCCCACAGACGGTGCCAAAATGTTGGTTCTACTCTCAGATCTAGAGTGAACCGGCGGAAACGAGCCCAGATTTGTCTAAATCGCCTTCGAACTGTTTCTAGACCGCGAGAATACCTGCAAAAACTCAACGCCGGAGGGGTTTCCAGCGTAGAGCCTCCGACGCTGAAGTCAGTATGTGAGAGAGATGAAGAGAGCTGTTATGAGGGAGCAGCAGTTATGGAGGAGAATATGGAATGGATGGGAGTTAGGGTTTAGGGATACCTCTTC